AAGATAAGATAAGATAAGATAAGATAAGATAAGATAAGATAAGATAAGATAAGATAAGATAAGATAAGATAAGATAAGATAAGATAAGATAAGATTATACTTGGAATATCTCGGTGCAGAAGAGGTCCTTGAATCTCCTTGTTGTTGTCTTTATTGACAGCAATGAAAGCAGTGAAAGAACTGCTCACTCCTGATTGGACACTCAGCTGCACCACCTTCTTTTTTACTTCTTCTTTTTCCTCATTGTTTTCTGCTTCCATCTCTAGCAAGCAAATAAGAGTCCGAGCAGCTAACCTGTGGACTATTAAGCTACAGACAAGAGAAAATATTGGTATGGTGACATGGTCACAATTACCAATATTTTTTAGATCATACAGACATAAAAAGTAAACTTTTGTAAAGTAAATATGTAATTGTACCAGTGGATTAACAGCTCATTTACCCAGAGTTCTCTGCAGGTCTGAGACTGAAGTGCAGCTGGTTCTCAGAGGGATGACCTGCCAGGCTGTACTTCACCGTCACACAGCCCTCTGCTGCCTCTGAGCTCTGACACAGAATTACAGTGTTAAACCAATTTCATTTTATTTCAAAACATGACAAGCATAAACACAGAGATTGTTCACTGTGAGAAGATGCTGTTCCTACCTGTCCAGTAAGCTGTGCATAAATCAGTGACCTTTTACCCTGGAAAATGGTTGTGATTGGTGGAGAGAGGACAGTGACAGTTGATCCCTTTGGTAAATCCCATGTAACAGAAACATCTTCCACAGCTGGCTGCAGAGCAAATCGCAGCGACTGCATCACCTGATGAGTATAAAAACCAAAATCATATCTTCCATCCAAATTAAAAATAAATAAAACAAACTAAAAACACAATTTTTTTTTACTGTAATTGTTATGAGTCATTGTCTTACTTTTGGTTGCATCCTGTCAATCCCTGTGATGAACTGAGCGTGACCTCCTCCTTCCTTGGCCATCCCATTGATGAGAGCAGAGCTGGCCCCTTCCCCAATCCCAAAAGAGAAACACCTGCAATACAACAGCTGTTTTTAAAACACACAGGCTTGGTACACAGCACATGTCATCATCTTTTTCTTGTTTTACCTGTGGGAGCCTGAATTCTTCTTCACCAGATCGATCACTTCTTTGGTGTTCTCCACCTCTCCATCAGTAAAGACAAACAGCTAGAGAGGAGAGTTTACACACAGTTTTTCAACTGCACAAGCTGAAACACAACTCTCTGATATGTAATCAAGTATGTGGTCAGTAAACTGTTTTAACCAGTAAAAAAAAAAGAAAAGAAGAAGCTTTAAGCAAGACTGAGAGGAACAGTAGGAGCCACTCAACAGATCAACTCATGTATAATTAGCAGATTATATGAGATATGTTACGACTGATACAGGGCTTGGTTCATGGTCAACTTACATGTTGGAGTAATGAATGAGAAAAAAGGAAGGACAAAAGGATGACATCAAGGTGTGTGTGTGTGTGTGTGTGTGTGTGTGTGTGTGTGTGTGTGTGTGTGTGTTTGTGTGTTACCTGTCTAGGCTGAGTGGGAATGCAGGGCTGGCTGTAAATATGTTTGAGTGACTCCAGGATTTCTGTTCCTCCAAGATCAGCCTCCATCTGCTCAACTTTCTTCAGAGCCTCCTCCATGGTCTTCTCACCATACTCTACACTCTTACTGCCATGACAAACACACAAGTGAGATCAAACATAACCTGGAGTTTTGCAGAATCATCCAAAGGCAACATGTTGACTAACAGCAGGGAAGATATCTTATCACACATTTTGTCATGGTCCCCATGTCTGCCCGGCCGGCTCTACAAGGCCACATGTGTTTTTGTGTACATTCTCCTCTCTCCTCCCCGTCAGGGTGGAGCTCACTGCAGGCTCCCGCCCTTGGCACACAAACCTGCTTCTCGTCAGGCTCTAATTATGGGTTGGACTCTTAAGGCCGGGACACAGACAGCCTCATCGCTGGATGATTGTGCTAGACACGTCAGTGAACCTCAGCCTTGTATCTTTAAGCTCTGTGAATTTGCTGTGATCTCTGCGTAACTCCACTCTCTCCTGTGCACAGTTTCCCCGGACCTGTGACCAACCCGTTGTTTGAACCTTTGTAAAGAAAAGGAGCTAGCGTGTATGTGATTCCCTTCCCGGACTTCCCTTTTGGACCCAGGACCCCCCTTTTTCACCTCACTGTATATATCTGCACCTGGTGACTTTGTAAATAAACGTTTCCACTGAACTCTGCTCTGCGCCTGAGTCCTACTACAACGCATGACACATTTACAGTAAAAAGTGACAGAAAAGTGATATCACTAAGATCATATGAATACAACTCACGGGAAGATGTGTTCATAACTAGACCCAAAACTGTAAATGTTGAAATAGCAGCCCATTGGTAAACTCTTCAACAGGAGCAGCAGAGTATCCTGTAGGGAAGAGAGAAAAGATGGTGAGGCCACTGTGTGAGAGGAACAATTTTATGAAAGATTTGAGGAAATATTTCACAACTATAACACCACATCATAAATACCTTGGCACTGCTGATCCGAGTTTCCTGCTGCTCAGTGTTATTCATAGTACAGTCCATACTTCCAGATCGATCCACTAAGAACACAAACTCTCCACATGAAGCCTTTGAAGACATCACAGACTGGGGGAACTCAGGGTACAGACTCACCATCACCACTGGATCACCCATCAGAGAGCCTGAAACACATGAAAGGGACAGAAATATGTCAAGTTTACAGTTTATAATAGCTCCAACACAATTAGCTATTAGGTTGAAGAAGAACAATAATTTTTATTTGCAAACTAATGACTTCTCTCATTTGCTCTCACCCGGCTCAGCAGAGGCCTGTCCTGCCTCCACCACAGCAGTGGGCTGGTGGGCGTCTTTGTAATAAATCAGCAGTTCAACATCTCTGTCAAACTTGTGTCCTGCAGCCAGCTTGACCTGCACACCACAAACACATTCATATTTATTCCTCAGTAATAAGTAACAACCACACACAGCAGACACATCAGCACTCTACCTACCGTGGCCTGGGTTTGATCAGTGTTGAGGTACTGCAGAGGGTCCAGGGAGCAGTTGGACTCTACTTTAGAGATTGGACGAGGAGAGGACACTCGGGCAGAGAAAGACAGACTGTAGGGCACCAGAGAGGCTGGAACAGAAGTCACCTGGACACCTGCACCTTCACTACCTGCACACAGCATCAGGTAAAATATGCTTTAATTAATGAGGTATAATACAATCAAATAATTTAGGCTGTAAAGACTCTCTGGTTCCCATGATAGTACAGATAAAATGAGGAAAAACAAAACTACTTTACAGCTGTTTTAATTCAAAACAATGAAAAAGTGACAGAAAAAGAATAACTTGACTTTTATGACCTACGGATGGTATAATGAACCATATCGGTATGATGAGGAAAACACAAACATCATTTTTTGCCTATTCCTTCTTCAGAAAAAACAAAAAATCTGTTATATAAATGTATAAATGTGATATAAAATTTAATGTCAGCGAGAATTAAATAGTGTTAAGTATATAAACCTCTTTATTATCTAACTTTTGGCAAAATAAGGGAAACTCCATATAAACACACTCAGTTAAAACCATTTACTGATATAAAGTCATGACGAGAGGGAGAGTCTGTGTTTGCACACTGCATCAACCTACTTCCAAAAAAAATTTTAATCTGACAAATGCAGTCCTGTGAAAACTAAACACACCAGTCCCAACAAGGTTTTATGAGATGTTTGTGCTGATACGTTGGGGTTGGTTTTCTCTGACTGTGATGGTCAATCAGTCAAATATCTCCAGTTTTGGGTTTGTTTGTCAGAAGGGCATCTTTCAAGAAGTCTTGTGATTGGTTCAGGTGCAACTTTGAAAACAAAAGCCATGCTGCCAATTTCTTTTTAAGAAAATAAGTTTTCTCCCACAACCCCTAAAAAATAAGCCACACTTGTTCAGTCTTATTCTTGAAATCTAACATTTGATATGCTAGCTGAGGCCTGTAGAGTTTGAGATACAGCTTTTGGGCTTTTTGTAATTTCTCTGAGGATGCACTAAAGCTTTTCACTGAACTGAAACATTTCTTTTTCACAGCTTTTTATATTTAGTAATCACAATGTGATGAGAAGTGAATTCTTTTTCTTGCAGAAAATCAAGTTGAAACTTGACCTAATTATCTTCCAGATTTTTCTCACGGTATGTGTTTTCCTGTATGTGGCAACAGTTGCATATCTGGCTCTGTGTTCACACCTTACAGTAACTGGCAAAGTTGGAAGATGTTTTTTTTTAACATTTTATGTTCTGCCAGTGGTGTGGAGGTTGGAAGGTGGTTCAACACTTTCACTGATTTAGTTGAAGCATTTCTGGTCCAAGTATTCTGAAGTTGTCCTACCCTGAGGTTGGTATCGAGGGTTGAGCACAGCAGGCAGACAGAACCTCAGACCATCATCAGCCTGCACAGCCAGCTCAGTGACGTACTCCAACCTGATGGAGGCGCTCTCTCCTGGAGGCAGACTGCCCACACGTAGAGAGAATATATCTGGACTCTGATCACTCTCCTCCAATAGGAAGGCCTGCTGACCGGAGCTCAGAGCATCATCATACTCCTCACGAGCCTGAAGCACAGGTGACACATGTCAGTGACATTCACTGTGTTTATTTTGAATCTCACTTGTAATCAGGTTATATTTACTGTCCAGCTCACCTTCTGTTTCTCCTTCATCTCAGCTACAATCTGTGTCTGTCCAATCTGAGCGCTGAAATGACAGACAGCAGCATCTCCAGGCAGAGGGAAGACAAAAACGGCCTCTAATGGTTTGTCCTCCTTGTTCTCATAGTTCAGAGTGGAGACCACTGTAGCCACATGGTCCCTCACCTCCAGCTCCACCTCAATGCTCTTCAGAGGAACTGATAGAAAAATAATATTAGAATAAACACAAACCATACATCAGGGTATTATTATGTGCCATTACAACAACAACAAAATCTACATTTGAAGTTGTTTTACTTTAACTTCTTTTCCATCAGTACCTGGTTCCTTCTGAAGAGTTAGCAGACCACAGCAATCCATTATCTTACCTGTAAAACAAGAACACTTAATACTGAAAATATTATGTTTTTTTACACTTTACAAATACTGAACATTCAAAACATATAGTCCCCGTCAGAGATAACGGGTATGTCGACCATGGGAATAAACGTCCTCCGTTAACTACTTTCTTTTTTAGGCTCTGTGCCTTAAAAAAACATTCATCAAATAAAGGAATCACTGTAAACATTCGCTTCTGCTCGATTTTTAACCGAAACTCGTAACACAAATTGCTCCTGACCGATTTATATTTTGAGTACAAGTTACTTTGGTGATGTAAGCAGCTAAAAGGGGAGTCACTGTCGGGAACAGCTCGCTGACGCATTAATCAGGGTTTTTTGTAGAGGCCTCGGGTTTTGTTGCAGTCTTGTTTATTATTATAACCAGCCAAGCGTCCCTCTGACCGTGACTTTCACTTTCACATTAAAACACGCCGTCTGTTGTATAACCCTGTGGACTTTCTCTACTGCATGACAGTAGACACACATAAACAGTTAGTGCGGAACGTCTGTGTGACAGCACCCACATGACAGCGATAAGCTTTCAGGTTTTCCTGTCAGTCCAGCTGCTTAAATAACGGACAGACTTACCTCAAAGAATGTACTGATGTTTCCGGTACAGTTTTACTGCAGCCCCCTCCTTTAAATACGTGAAGAATGGTGTTAAAACACGTAATGTTTTCGCTAACAACACTGACCTAACTGAAACAAGACTGCTACCGGGTATGCTCGATTTTCTTGTACGACAGCACCCAGTGGCGTAGTGATGTGTCGGTCGCGAACGAAACGGCTCTTAGAGCCGACTCTTAGCAGAGAGTCCCGGGTTTAAACCCAGTGGGAGTGTCCCTCTTTGGGGGGGATACTCCCACTGGGTTTAAATCTGGGACTCTCCGCCATTTGACCTTAGAACTGAAGAAGCTTCTCGGATGAGAGGTGAGACGTCTTCAAGCAACTTAAAGAAGTTCAGATGCTTTTCTTTGCAAGCTCCTTTGACCACAGGAGAGAAAGAGAGCCAGGGACAACAACGTCACATTAGAAAAGTATAGTAATCATCCACAACTATTTTCAGTTGCGGATGATAAAGGATTCAGAAAGTTTATTCATGCAGGCCCATATGACAGAGAATGTGCATCTTCTTTTTGTTTTCATATTTTAATTTATATTTAATTGTGTTGTAGTTTTCAGTGTTTTGTGTTGTTTCATTTTAAATTTGTTTAAAAGGAAACAGCTGAAAATTTAAATAGTTAAAAGTTGAAATGTAAATAGTTGGTTTTTGTATTATATGATTTATTTATTACATTTTATGTGGAATAAATAAATAAAAGTATATTTACGGTGGCCCCTACAGACAAAGCACGCACAAAATCCAAAACACGTACGAACTCCAAAACTCATACAAACACTGAAGCATGTACAAACCCTGAAGCACCTACAAACCCCAAAGCACGTAAAAACTCCAAAACACGTAAAAGCTCCGAAGCACGTACAAACTCCAAAACACAACAGGATGTTAGGGGCAGTGTTGAGCTTTTGTTACCACGTAAATGGAGTTTTGGAGTTTTTACTTGCTTTATCTCTAGGGGCCACCGTATATATTTATATATAAACGTATACAAATAAAACCACATTGTTTTTTTTACATTAGTAATTCATTTTGTGTATAATTTTATATTGTTGTTAATAATAAATTAATTAAAGCAACAAAACGATCTGAAGAGCCGGTTGGGAGTCGAAAGAGCCGGTTCACTAAAAAGATCCGGAAATCCCATCACTACAGAGGCGGTTTTAGGTATGCGCAACATGGGCGCTTGTCCAGAGTGGGCGGCATCATGGCATCCGCAAAAAAAAGTTGCTCGCACACTCGCGCCTGCTGTTTGCCACACAGGGAGGAGGGGGGCGGGGCGGCTAGGAATTCTCTGGCTGACTGGAGCATCTAATAACCAGCTCCCAAAATAAAACAAAATAAAAACAACCCAACAAACTGGGGCTGTCAACTGGCACACAATGACTCAAAATCCCTGATATGTCTCTGGCAACGGATTTTGGGCAGTTTGTCCAAAATTTGTCCATTCTGCGCTCCAGATTGGTTGATTTCGTTAAAAAAAAATTTAATCGTGATGACAGCGTTAGCCTGTTAATGTTGACAGCCTACAACAAACACAAAAACTGAAGACATCATGATATAGACTTGTAATTTGCACCGATGTGTTTTCTAAATTCTATCACACAGGTATACTCGAAAAGTGAGCGCGAGAGCCCTCAGTGCGCATGCTTGCTGCTGCTTCTGTGCTGAAGTCTCACACACAACCTGTGGAAAGGGGAGGGGGCGGGCTGCTTCCAAATAGTGAACATTTCATTCATAACATTGTCAATCCAAGCCCATTATGTATTAATTATTTTCCTGGGTTGTGTGAAAGAAAAAAAATATACAAGGTGTAGGTCTATTAGTCTGTTAGTCTATGTTGTGGGGTTCAGTGTTGATACTGGAGTGCAAAATTACTGATGGAAGATGGACAAGAAAAGGTCAAAGCCATCAGGTCCTCAGTTTAGAAAAAAGGCAGAGGGAGTGTTCCGATCAGTCTTTTTTTTCCCACGATGGGTATATTATTAGTATCTTATCATTAAAACCTAGAAAAAAATTAGGTTTGAATATTCTTCTTATTATTATAATCTGTTTATTTATTTAATTTTAGATAATGTAAGTGTTGTGATTGAGAGAAACATGTTACCAGAGGTGGGAATTAACAAAGTACAAATACTTCTTTACTTTGGAGGATGTGTCCTCTTGACAGTGTACTTGACATATTTGACTGCTGGTATCATCTATGAAGCAATTTGTTTATCAGCTAGGAGCTAGTTAGCGCAGCTGCATTTTAAATTTTGTTTAGTGAGTCAAAGGAAAAAGAAAAGATGCTCAAAAGAGGAAGATTGTCAATGTTTTGCTGAACAAAAGAGTGAGTGTTTTTTTTTTTGTAAAGGAGCGAAACTTTGTTACCACTTGTATGTTGAAATCTTCACTCCTAGTGTGTGTGTGTGTGTGTGTGTGTGAGTGAGGAATTCTCTTGTTTTATATAATCACTCCCTTTCATTCTATCTGTGAGGACCTGCGTCTAATGGGCTTCTCTCTTCTCTTTCATGCTTATCAACATTACAATTGTCTTTCTGTTATGTTACCAAGATGAAATCTGTTTAGGGCTCGTGGCATCCTAGTTGAAGACGATGGTGTGAGTAAATGTGTCCATTCCCCTGACCTCTGACTGTGGTTGCTGTCCATGGTGCTGATCAAAAGCTGGAAAGATGCTACTGACAGTATTGATTATTGGTATGCATTATTTTACCAATACAGTTGAGGTGATAAAGACTGTGAGAAGCTGTATTTGCTCCAGGTGGAAATGGCCCAAAAATAATGTCCTGGGCCCAATCACAGTTGTTACACTTGTGAAAGGGGGTCTTTTTGAACTACCTTCATAAATTACCCCCCGACTCTGGGAGAATAGATAACATCAATATGTGTAACTGATGGAGTTTTTTTTTAAAATAACAAAAGAAACTGTAATATTTTGCACATTTCAACAGATAAGATAGGTACCTATTGGCTTGCTTTAAATTTTCTTTCTTGATAAATATCTGTCTATATGAGGTCAGGGAAGGTTATAAGAGTTTGTTCTGTTGGTTTGATTTGTTGGTTTGAAGGAGCACCACAGCGAATTACCTTTAGAGTTGTTCTCAGCTTCAGTGAACAGCAGAGGGAGAAAATGTTGGAGGAAAAAAAGTGCACCATAGTCAAAATATTTTAACAGCACTCTAGTTTTCATACAGTCATACTCATTCTGTACACTCACACTCCCCGATACACCCAACATAGCACTTTCAACACTGTGTGTGTGTGTGTGTGTTCATACACTCCTGTTTCACACATCCTGTCTACAGAAAGAGGGTGGCATGGAAATCAAATAGGGTGGCAAAATCAAAGCCATTTCTTCTATGCTGGTGTTACTGTGGGATCCCAGAGTGGGAATGGCCACATTAATATTATTCTGTGTAAAACA